CTCTTTGCAGGTTATTTAAAGCCAGAAAATGTTTTTAGATTGAAAGAATTATTTTTGAGATAATAATGGTTTAGTGATTCAAGTCTTATTAATTAATCCATTGCTGGAGAAGGAGGTTGATTTATAGTTTTTCTCAAATGTATTTGCGCGTAAGTGAATGTTTAGAACTCAACGGAAATCGGAAATCGGCTCTCCGATTACTAATTCCGAGCCATTATTCATTACACCAACCGCACATCCAAGTTAAGAGCACCTGTTATTCCAAAGAGGTCGCTCATCTATGATCTTTTTTAACAATAATAAAAAATATATATCATCATTATAATCTGGTCTCAGCCTTTTCTTCACTTCTCTTTGATAATAACTATATAAGACGATTTCATTATGTACGTATTATAACTAGTCAAAATTTACCCAGCCCCCGCGAAAGCAGGCTCAGGTACAGTAATTCTGTTTTTCTCAGTCGAGTCTCTATCCAAAGACAGCGCCACGACTTAGACATCCTCCACCCGAAGACGACGGCCTTGTTTTGTCGTGAGCCTGGGAGTGACTCTGATTTGTCCACTTATGACCTCATAGTAAATGCGAGCATTTTTCTTCAGTAACCTTAAATCCGTATTTTTCTTGGTTTTTGCATAAGTGTTTTCACATACCCATCATGTTCTTAGTGCGACAGACTCTTGACCAAAATATCGTCCGGATACGCGACTGCAAAATTGCGCTCCACCAGCACGGTAGCTATGGCTTGTTGAAAAATAACTGTTACCACTTTTATACCAAAAGGAAGTCGAATAAACTTATATAAACCTCTGTGCGTATTTATGGTCGTCAATGAAGAACATTTATTTTCAATCTGATTAATTTTCAATTTGATTGATTTTCAATCTAAATATGTTTCAGAAAAAATCCAGATTTGAAAATATTTTTCCGCCATTCAACTTTGAAAAATTTTTGTCTGGACTTGGTAATGTATAATTGTGTATTTCGAGACAATTATTTAATCCAATCGAGAAATCCATGCAAACACGGATTTTTCATTTTTTTTTCTTTATATGCTCCACTGGTGCAGCCCATTTCCAAGGGTTTATTTTCTGTAATACACCAATTCTTTCTAGTCAGTCCGAATCTTCATTTACTTGTTCTAATGCTGCGAATAATACGCTCTGTTTTGGTTTAAATACTGGCGTTGAACTTCTTTTTTTTTACTTGAAAATACGCCTTGAATTTTGGATACCGACCGAGTTCATTAGACAGAACACCAGGAAAATATTTAAAACTTCCTTAAGATTTTCGCTCTGACTTTTTAAATTGATCGCTTGTCCATTTACATTTTTACAATACCCATTTATCAGCAAATCCCACAGTTCAAATAGTTTCATACAGTCCGTACCAAATAGATTTGTCCAGTTTCTTGGAGCATAAGGTTTTGTTTTTTACCTGCTTATTTCGAAAATAAACATCCCATGTTAATTCTCCCCAGAAACTGAAGTTGCGTCTTTGTAAGTTCTTTTTCATAAATGTTTTCCAATTCCTTTCCATGTGGTTTCATTTACTACGTGTCCCTACCAGTATCTAGTGACATTTAACAAATTTTCTTTTATTTCATGTGCCTATTTTTTTCGTTGCCATATTGTGTATTTTCTTTCTGCGAAATTTTTTTCTTGGTTTAGGTCTGTAGTGTGATTTGATATATCCTTTTTTACCACAATTATAGAATTCTTCATTTTTCCATGGATAGTATTTCCCAAGAGTTAATATTTCACATCTGAAACAAGGTTTTATATTCCATTCTGTTCATTTTTTCCGTAACTTTTACCCATGCACATTTTTTATTCTGAAGTATTTCATCATCATGCTTCCGACTTAGCATTTGTTTGGCAATTGTTTACTATTTCCTGTAGTGTTACGTTATTATTATGTTCAAGCTTTGCTAAAATTTTCGTTCGTACTTCAGCATGTTTTCCTCTGTTAAGCCTTTCACGAAAATGAATCCCTTGAACATATCCAGAGTCATTTCCTTCAGTTTAAATTGTTCACATTCTCTGTTGAAGGTACACTCATACGTAATAAAAGCTTCATCCTCTTGTTTGATTAACTTCATGCACCTCCAACGAGTGTGGAATAGAGATCAATTCTGACTAGAAATTTTCGTCAGAAAGTGTACTGTATCTTCAAACCCTATTTCACCTGGTTTTCTTGTTAAAATATAATTGCACTACATTTCGTATTCAACTGACGCAATTTCTCTTAACAACAACCTAGCTGCTGAATTTCTGACTAAATATTACTTCATGTCTGCGCAAATATGCATCAAAAGTCAGTCCTTCATCAGGATTGTATACGAACTTTGATACGGTGTTTTGCGCCGCGTCTGCCGTAAGAGACGTTGAAGCACTTTTTTTCAAAACTACTTCAAACAACTCTTCTTGTTTTTGCAACTGTAGCAACTGTTGTGTACTTTGTTTTTGTTGCTTCTGTTATTGTTGTTGAATTTCAACCATTAAAAGCCAAATTTTCTCCATATCTGCAAAAATTAAAAAAAAAAACTAACGTGGGTGAAATTCTTGTAGCTTTTGTTGCACACGTCTGAGTTTCCAAAATCTGGTCTCCCATTCCAGTTATAATATGCAGCTTGTTACACCGCGCTTGAGTTCAAGTTCCTCATCGTCAAATATTATAATTTCCTATTGTAAGGTTATTGTTATAACTTGTACTTGGTATAACGTACAGTGCTGTTCGATAAAAGTGACTCACCTGATGTTTTTACTAAATGTTCTCTTCTCCGATGAAACGAAAGTTGAGCTAAATTCAAAGGATAAGCGATCTAAAATCCGAAGAAGCTTTGAAAACTCTTTGAAGTTAGCAGGAAGTACTGTCAAGCATCTGTTCAGTATAATGTTCTGGGGATGCTTTTCTTTTCATGGAACTGGTTTCTAAAAACATATTGAAAAGACCCTCAAGAGCGAGCAGTACAAGAGAATTTTAGTCTTGTCTGCTCCCTTCTGCTGAAATGGTGCAAATCGACCCCACCAAGCTAATTTTTATGCAGGATAATGCTCCCTGTCACAAATCAAAATTGATGAAGGAATACTTTGATGAGAAGCAGGTGAGTGTTATGACATGGCCGCCCCAATCTCCTGACCTCAACGCCATAAAAAAAACTTATGGAGCATTATAAAATACAGGCTCTCGAGAAAGCAGTTGAGCAACAAAGAGAATTTGATTTTGAATTTCATATCCAAATGGAATTCAATGCTTGGAGATGAGATTTGCCAGAACCTAATCAAGTCAATGCCAAAAAGGGTTGAAAAGGTTATTCAAAATAAAGGAGGACCCATAGATTATTAAATATTTCAAACTATATTACCTATTATAAATAAATTATACCTCTATTATTCTTTATTTAAAGCTGTTCGGTTATGTTTCTATTGATTACTAGTTGCAGGAAATAAGTGAGTCACTTTTTTTTGGCATAGAGTTTTTCACTAAATCTCATTTATATCCAAATTTACAATTATCAATAGAATACCTTAGGGTGAGTAAACTTTTTTACTCGGTGGTCAGGAAGGGGTCTTTATATTAGTAAGATTAAAAATTAGTTTGATCCCAAAAACAATAGACGAAAACATTTTTAAGTAAAATAATCAGGTGAGTCACTTTTATCGAACAACACTGTAATTCGTTTATGTAATCTCTATACGTAATGCTTAGATTATTGCCTTAACGCTTGTATAGTTAGTAAGAATATAGTATATTCACTATCGATAAAATGAACAATTGTGGTACAAAGCCGAAGGGTAAAGCTGGTCATCCTTAACTATCTTAGACTTAGTTAGACTCCCGACACATTCATTCATTACTATTTACTCATTCACCATAAAAACTCATCCATCACCATTCAATCCTAAATGCACCACAATACGACATTTATTCACAGGGAACCTACGAAAACTCATGATGTAAAAATGTCACAGTTCATAAATGTTTCTTTCTTTTTTACTTATTTCCTTTTTTTTTTTTACAAAAATACATAAAAATTTCATGAATCAGGAAATAGTAGGTCCCGTCGACCCCTCAAAAATAAGAGAGGTCGTTGTAGTCTGCCTACAGACAGAATCAAGAAGAATATCGGCAACCTCACCAGACTTTGAAAGAAATAGCTCAAGTGGTACTCGATGATATATAAAGGAACTCCATGCAAGGTCACCTGTATCTTCATGGCTTCCATATATTTTGTCTGCATTCTCCCTGACTTCATTGTGAAAATGCTCCCGGCCAGAGATTTAGCTGTTTCTTCAGTTGCCAGCCAAATATAATTAAAAAGTATTAACAAAAAAGGAAATTTAATTAGAAAAAAAAGAAAAGGAAAAGTGTATTAAACTGCTATGTAATATCGATCTTCCTTTATGGCAGTGATTTCAGTACAATTTTCTCATTGATTAAAAACAGACTTAAAGCAAGAGAAAGGTGGTTCTACAGAAGGATGCCGAGAATACGATTGAAGATAGATTTGAGCAACGAGTCAGTTTTCTGGAGAACTGAAACAAAAAGGGCGCTTATACTGAGAGACAGTTGAAATTTTTGGTACTCATAATGAGTAAAGAAGGTTTGGAGAATTTGATACAAACAAAATATTGAGGGCAAGAATAGTGAAAGAAACGGGATGCAGCCAACCTAACCAGCATGTGTCAACGAATAACAAAAAGAGAAATGGAAGGATATTGATTGGTTGATTGATTCGTTTTCGACGACTTATCAACCCTTTCCAGGTTATTTAAAGCCAGAAAATGTTTGTAATAATTTTTTTTTTAGATAATAATGATTTAGCGATACAAGTCTTACTAATTAATCCATAGCTAGGAGAGGAGAGGAGGTGGATTCATACCTTTCCCAAGGAGATTTGCGCGTGAGTGAGTATAATGAACCCTACTGTAAATGAAACTCGGTTGTCCAATTTACAATTCCTTGCCGTTTTCCATTGTGCCATGCGTTCGTCCAGGCTAACAACACCTGGTATTCCCAAGCGGTCGCTCATCTAGGCACTGACTAGGCTCAACGTTGCTTAAATCCGGTGATCGTACGGGAACCGTTGATTCAATGTGATACGGCCGTAAGCCAGGGAAGGATAGCATGTGAACAAATATTACTTAGAAATAGTAAGTATAGGAGATTGTAGAGAGCCATAATAGCCCCATGTCATGAAGGGACAAGGCAAAATAATGCTGGCTTCTTTATAGCTGAATAGGGCCAGAGCCTCACTACACTAGGTGTTGCTATGATTTCTGTAGGAATTAGGGTTTTTTTTTTTTTTTTGGCGGGGGGGGTTACAGAATGGAGTTGCTAGCACCCAAACAGTTTTCAACTTACAGTTTTTATTTTCCATGTCTCCGTACGATCACCGAAGTTAAGGAACGTCGAGCCTGATCAGTGCCTGGATGGGTGTTTGCTTGAGAATACCAGGTTTGGATATGCAGGTGAAGTAATGGATAATAACACGGAAATGGAAAACGGAGAACCGAGTTCTAATTCCAGTCAGGTTAGTTATATTCACTTACGCTCAAATACACTTGAGAAAGATATGAATCCACAACTTCTCCCCCTACCACCACCAAGCTATGGTTTAATTAGACTAATTAAACTAATCAATCACTCAACAGATCTCTTTGTCTAGTTGCCAAAGTTAGAGAGTCTGTAAAATATTGAGTAACGGGAAAATTATCTTAGAAACAAAGAAAAGTGTGCTGAATTGCTAGCATCAACACTTTTATAAGGCAATTACCATACAGTTCATGAAGTGACTTGAACCAAACAATGGGCGACAGACGAGAGCATCTAAGAACTTCTGAAGAAATTGAGAGACAAAATAGACTCTTAAACCAATAATCAGCAAGTGCTGAAATTTTGGGGTCATAGAATGAGAAAAGAAAATCTTGAAGAATTTGACACACACAGTATATATTAAAGGCAACAAGAACGGAGGAAATATCGAATAACCTACTTATCTATTCTGTGTAAATGAATGGTAGATCAGGAAGGATATCAAGGGGGTAAACATTACTAAGAGCGACAAAAGATAAGAAGTTAAGGAGAGCCATATTCATTCACGTTCTGAAGGGACACCGTACATAAAAGAAGAAGAAAGTCAAATAACATCGTTGTATGTTTCGTTGTTAAGCATTTTTAGCGAACTAGATTCTTACAAGTGTACTGAGTTCGATCAGCTCTGGGTTTCCTAAATTTGCAACCGCATGTGATAAGTATTGTAAATTATGTCACATATATCAATGTTCTTTTTGCTCTTGAAGACGATGGTGATCATGACTCTTCACAAAGACAAAAACTACTTCTTTTATCAGCCGTGTCTCCTCAGGACGTTGGCGAACATGGCACTCTAGAAAAAGATCCTATCGAACTCGATCTTTATTGCATACTCCATACTAGTGGTTTTTCTGTGCAGTAAACTTCGACGCTCTATTTTCTCCTTGTTTGGCTTTGTGCCGAATGAAGTTAAGACCAGGAGATAATAATGACATCAGTAGAAGATGTGATACACAAAGGACTCTAGAAGAGTAAAAACGGACAAAGAAATAGGGAAAGGTTGATTCCACAGTATATCCCGCGGGCCAATACGTCTGTTTTGCCCTCTGATCTCGCGATGTTAATCTTTTTCCTAAAGTTTGTAGATTTCTTTTGTACGTGAATATAAGGGTCTCTGTAACATTTTCTGTTTCAAGCTTAACAGATAGGAACTCACATAGCGTTTGGCTAGGGGAGGGTATTGGAAAATGTATTTATAATCAGGAGAAAACGACGCAACTATCTGAGACCCACAGGTGCTTTAAATCAAATCGGCAATCTCATGAGGACTCGACCCGTTCTGCATACTTGCCAGGGGTGTCGACCTCTGTTTTGAGGTTCGTTGACTTGGAAATACTGCTGCGCCAAACTGAACTTACATCTTATAAAACGAAAGCAAGTTGAAGTTATATTGTTCTCAATATTGTGTAATTATCAAATGCAAACTTTTGTGAACATTTATAAATGTATGAAAGAAAAATTAGATTGATTTCATTGATTTTCGTTTTCTTTGCAGGTTAATTAAAGCCAGGAAATATTTTTAGATTGAAAGAATTTTTTGGAAATGATAAGGATTTAATGATAAAATTCGTACTAATTAACCCATAGATGGGGAGACAAGTAGTGGATCCATACCTTACCCAACTTTGTGCGTAAGTGAATATAACTAACCTAACAGGAATTTTCAGGTTTTAAGAAAGTTTTTGTTTTTTTTTAGATAATAATGATTTATCTATACGAGTTTTACTAATTAGCCCATATCTGGGGAGAGAGCAGGTGGAATCATAATTTACCTAAGTTTATTTGTGCGTGAGTGAATATAACGAACACAACAGGAAATGGAACTCGGCTCTCCGATTAACAATTCCGAGCTGTTATCCATTACATCAGCCACACATCCATGCTCACAACACCTGGTATTCCCAAGCGGTCACCCATCTAGGTACTGACCAGGCTATACTTTGCTTAACTTCAGTGATCGTTTGAGAACCGGAGTTTCAACGTGATATGATCGTAAACCTTGAAAATTAGAAGACAGGTATTTTTTTAAAAAAAGCATGGGCTAAATTAATGCGTCCTTCCATGATTATGTTCTGTTGCTGCTCGGGTTTTTCTAGAAGAACGGACCACTATACTAATAGATAACCTGATTAAGATGCTGACTTTCTGTACACAAACATATAAACGACACACTTCGGAATGGGATCAAACATATATCGCGTCGATGAAGGCTTAGCAATGGGCTCACCATTATCACCAGAAATGGCAAACATATACATGGAACACTTCAAAGAAATGGCATTAGAATCCACATTACTAAAGCCAATCCTATGGCTGAGATACGTAGATGACACCTTCATACTCTGGCCACACCAGGAAGAGGTTCAGGTACTACTGGACTATGTGAACTCAATCATATCATCGATACAGTTTACAATGGAGACAGAAAACGACAACAAAATCGTCTTCCTGGATGTACTAATATCTCGAACAAAGCATGGGTTCAAGTCATCCGTATACCACAAGCCAACATTCACCGGACAATACCTCAACTTCAACTCCCACCACCCATACAGAAAGGGATTGTCCATTGCTTACAACATAAGTTGCGAACTAGAGACATATGATCAAGAAATCGTCAGTATAAGCAGTACCCTACAACGTAATAACTACCCTGGGTACATGGCAGCAGCTCCAACAAACTGGGATAAAAACAGCTCCGGTCTACCTACTCTGGGAAGGGATTATCAGAGAAAATACAAAAGATCTGTGGATCATATAACATCAAGACGACCTTCAAAATTGGTTCGAAACTTTGCAGACACCTCTTCCGAGTAACACCAACCATAGAGAAGAACATGACTAATGACTGCGTGTACGCCATCCCCTGCAGCTGTGGTAAGAAATATAAAGGATAAACAGACCGCCTCCTTAAAGTAAGACTGCAAGAACATCGAGAGGAAATAGAAAAATTAAGCGTAGCTGACCACATATGGAAGGAAAAGGGAGATCACCGCCCTCTGTGGGGTAAGGTTGAAATAATAGACAAAGAACATCACTGGCAAATACGAAAACTTAAGGAATCAGCACATATGCTAGGCCACAAAATTCTCTTAAGCCGCCCCAGCAAAATACGGAACACAATAAGGGAACCAGTTAGTGTTAGAGAAAAGCAATAACATCAAAATTGCAATATGAGCTCTGGTAAAATGTTTATATGTCCAAAAAATTCATACAATGATGTCCTCGAACATGGATCAGTGGATAAAAACGTTGGTTGGATCCAGTGACTTGATCGAAAGAGTTGTGAGATCAATACCAAGGCAACATTTGGATGAGATAGAATAACAAATTTACACAACCAATTTGTGAGCGGATTGGTATCCCCATGGTACAATACATGCTAGACACCATCATCAGTTTCTGATTAATATATGGGCTGGTATTGTAGGTGACTATCTGATAGATCCATATGTTGCCCCAGCACGTCTTACAGGAGTTGTCTACTGGGACTTAATTTCGAACACACTTCCAGTCCTGTTAGAGGATGTACTACTGCTAATACGAATACGCATATGGTTCATGCATGATGGGGTTACAGCACATTTTAGTCACATTGTTCTCGATCAACTGGCTGATTATCAACTATGAAAGTTGGGTAGTTAAGGGAGGACCGGCTCCATGTCCTGCACGTTCCACCGACCTCATTCATTTGGATATTTATTTATGGGGCCACCTAAAACAATTGGTTTATGCAACAGACATTAATACCGGGACGTTTCATCATCGTATCAAGAAGCCCTTCGAAACCATTCGACACAGGGTGAGAGTATTTGAAAGGGTCCGCCAGTCATTGATCCGACGGGTGCATGCATGTGTAGAAACAAGCGGAGGACATTTTGAACATTTGTTATGAGTTGCTGTGTTGAGGTACAACGATGGTCTTTTGAACATATGCGTATATGGACATTTTACTTTGTTTTGATGTCAGAAACCCACCCCAAAGTTTGTAAAAATATTATTGATACCATGTATGCAATAACTTATAGCCAATTTGCTGATTCCCGGATATAGTTTCAAATTTGATGCTGCAGAATTGACTGCGTAAGCATTAAATGCTATTAAAACAAACACAAACCAATGAATACCCAGACCCCTGAAATGTTCGGAAACTTGTGCCTAATATATTTGGGAGGTATGCCATGATGCACAATAAAGCCTAATTCAATCGATTTTTATCTGGGGTCTTGTGGTAATTATTCTGTAAAACATTCAACCAATCTTCACATTGAATTATTATGTTTATATACAACAGACACGTGAAAACCAGAGAATTCAGTGTAGATATTCAAAAGACTTTTTTAAGGAAATTTTACCAGCGCATGACTCACTGTATCTGAAAAGGGTTATTTTAGACGATTCTGTACCAGATTTTCGCTTCCCCAGCTTGGCGATGAGACATTAACGGAAAATCTTGTGTCACTGAATTCAACCAACTAATATATGAGCTTTCATCATGAATTTAATAATAGGTTTCTACCTCACTTGTCATGCTTCAACACTTTCTTTCATCGAGCTTTACTGCGCTACTCAAGCCAATGCCAAAAGGCTTCAATCATAAGACACTGACTCCATTCCGTTTGGCTTAGCCATTCATTTTCTATCATTACCCTATCCATTACTAGGGGTCTTAATCTCGGAACTATTATCATCATCCATCATAATTATTGCTATCATTATTCAAAATGCTATTATCACTGACATAAACATTCCTACAACTTCTACAATTCAGTCTGCTCTTGGCTACGTTATAATTATAATTCCGATTGGGATTAGCGGTAATTTTTGTGCTTTCATCGTCTGAGGACATGGTTGATATCTGAAATAATACGGAGGTGTGTTGAAAACTAAAGGAAATTTTCTTTCCCTTATTCTTCACCAATTACCACTCAATTATTATTACTAGAAAAAAACGTGCAAAAAGTTTCACGGTTTTTCCTATTTGAATTTGAGTAATCTTAATTCTTCAGTTATATGCTCATGGTGAATTTTGTGACAATATAATATCCGTAGAAATACCTTATCACATCTTTAAATATTTTAGCTTAAAAAATTTAACAAAATATTGCAATGACAATCAAAAATAAGAATGCTCGTCGTTATTTTAAGAAGTGGGTACAAATGAAAGGATTTGAAATTGACAGCTTTTCCCATTTCGCAGAAACGGGCTTTAAACACTTCTATCTTTTATTTCTTTCATTCATTCATTTATTTTCTCAGTGAAACTAAGTAGCGTCTCTGATATGTGTTTCGTTTCACCAAGCAATGAAAATGGAATAGTTCATTATTTATGAAGTATTGGCAACACTTCTTTCTTTCTTTCTTTTTTCTCACTGAAACTAAGTAACGTTTTACTCCTCTTTCCACGCGATCAGAACGGAATAGTCCATTATTTATTAGGTAACGAACGAAGGAACAAACACGATTATTAGATCATGATCATAATCATTATCATCATCTTCATCATCATAACAACCAATCTGATAAAAGTATACCAGGCACATGCATCACAGCCAAATCCACGCAATACTGTAATGCATAAACTCAAAAGAAAAGAACCCTCTCAACACCCGGTGCTCACTATTGTACAGTGTATCAATTCCTAGGATGCATGCCCATCTGGTACTGAACACCGCCAATCCGTTAAGATGAAAGTCAGGAGAAGTATAATTAATTTAGCATTATTATTATTAGTAGTAGTAGTAGTAGTAGTAGTAGTAGTAGTAGTAGTAGTATTACGCCACATGTCTGGTAATCTTTGTAGAAGACAGAGTGACAGCAAGTCTCCTATAATCTCCAGCACCCTTCTCAATATCCACACGCACTCTAGCATAACTAGTATCTGCATTTTGTTCACGATTATCATTGTTTAAATTATCGGTTGGTCTGTTGCTATGGCTTAAATAGAGGGTTGAGTGGTTGGCTGGTTGATTTAGTTTAGTGGCAAATCAACACCTCTATGGGTTACTTAATACCGAAATCTACATATTTTCAACTACAAATATTTTGTATATAAGTTTATACTTCCAAGGTAAAGTTGTGTTTTTTAGATATATAGTTTCTAGATCATAAAATGTATTTTTGGTAATCTTACTATAAAAATGTATTTTTATATCTATTTTTCAGTGTTGCATTGATTGTCCTTTTACTATAAAAATGTATTGTCGCTTTATTTCTTATAAAAATGTACCATGAATTTTTCTTTAGGGATTCACTATCTGCCCATAGCTGGGACCCTAACAGGTGCTATCACACTGGATCAGGGTGGACATGGGAACATCAGGAATTAAGAAGTCGTTCCAGGCTCCTCAAAACCTCAAATCTCCCGATCAGAGACCTTGCTGCCGGATGTAGTTGTATCGTCATACCCAGGACGAAGGGTAGCTTTAGCTTTGGGTGGCAGCAAGAAGGAATACTCCAAATTCAGACCTGTGGAAAAGTCAAGCGAAAACCAATGCAAAATTTACAGATAATGAAGAAACGTAATCTATGGCGAGTTATAAGACCTCGTCGTCAATCTGTTGGCGAACTTTTTTTAAAGCCCCGTATGCCTACTTTAGGATTTATGTCGAATGTAACTCTGTCCAAAATTATCTAATTTCATAATTCTGTTCAATTCCTGTTCACACACACTATTTAATTCATTACCATTGTTAGACACGATAAAATAACCATAAGCCTATATTCGATAGGAGAATATTTCGACACTCAGTCTGTAGGTTGTACATTGAAAATCTGGATAAAGCGATTTTCAGTGCTCAGGTGTTAAGGCGAGCATTACTGACAGAATTGTATTATACGACTAAGTTGTAGTAGTAGTTGTGTTTATTCAGCCTCGTGATATATCCTCTTTCAACCAGGCCCGACATAAAAAAAAATACCTTTCAGTGCCTTCATTTCCTATTTTTTTTTTCTTTTTGTCTCTTCTGGCTAACACCTGATCTATGAATATAACAT